TCTGGTAATGGAACAAGAAGTAGATACTCTCTTGAGGAATGGGGCTATAGAACGTGTTCCTCCTCTCTCTCATCTCTAGAGAGAGAGAGAGAGAGAGAGAGAGCGTCCGGGTTCTACAGCCGTTACTTCATCGTTCCGAAGAAGGAGGGGGATATGTTTCTTACAAACATGCAGCTTTTGGAGACGCGTGGATTACTTGTGTGGATTATTGTGATGTTTTTATCAGCTGTTTTCATGTTTTAGCACTCATTCAGTGCAGAGGATCCACTGGTGAGCAAGTGATGTAATGCTAAATTTCTCCAAATCTGTTATGAAGACAGCAAAAAAATTTAATTTTTGGGTGAACTATTCCTTTAATGGGGTCCAAAGCAACTGAACCTTTTAAAAATAACATGTTGTGTTCCACAAAAAAAGTCATATTGGTCTGGAATGGCACAATGGCACCTTTAACAAGCTTTGCTAGACCAAACTGCAGTTTTTGGAAGTGTGTGACAGGTAAATACCTTGTTTGCTGTCCACGTCTGTAGCAGGAGCCACGGTGGCAGTACAGGGGCAGAGACCAGCACATCTTACTTTCAACTCCTTTCCTGTGAGACAAGCCTGCTGCTCCAGTTTGCACTAAATTCAGGTGCAACACACACACAACACAACACAGGAAGAATAAGCAGCACCACCATAACACTCCAGTGTCACATGCTTCAGTTCAGTGGCATGAATTGTAACCCCAGAAAAGCATAATTATTTCAACAGACGAGTGAAAATCGCTGGTTCAAACAAGACATCTCCATTAAAAGAAGCTGATGTCAACCTTCATTTCTTCCCTCACAAGGTCAGAAATAGACATAATAGAGATAATTCATAATTCAACAGAACGGTTCTTTCATCCCCAAGTACTCAGAATCTCTTCAGACAATTCTTCTTTGACTTTTAAGGATGTCAAGGGCCAGACTACAAAGTATACTAGAGACCATTACACATACTGCACAAGCAGATTGACCCACGAGTCACACAGAAAATAACAGATATGAAAATTATGTTTTTTGAATGGCACAGAATAAAAAACACAGAAAAAACAACGTCATGATGCATTCATTGTCCAAAACCATGCAAGCAGAAGATAGTGAAAGGATTATGGATTTTCTCTTCAGGTTTGTTGACAGGACCATGGATCGCGGGACGTACCAAAAGAAGGGGGGGCCCGGGGGGTGGGGGTGGTTTTTTGCAGAACTTCGCACACTGGATGAGAAGCAGCATTATAATCATGGCTGGGGAGTAACGAAATACATGTAATGGCGTTACGTATTTAAAATACAAAATATGAGTAACTGTATTTCATTATAATTACATTTTAAATAAGGGGTAATCAAACTACAGTTACATCCGAAAAGTATTTTAGATAACCAAATTGATTACTTTGAATTTTAATGTAATTTCTTAATTTAATATTTAAGTAAACTAAACAGTTTGGGGATTATAACCAATAAGGCAACTGATTCTCCGTTGAAACAAAAAAAAATGCGTGCAGCAGCCTGTTCATTTAGCAACTCGTAGTGAGAGTGCATACATGCTCATCATTACAACACAAACATTCTCCTAGAATTCACACTTTGCATTCAATTAACAGATCCATATGAATCATGCATGAAATAAAAGTTTATAAAAGTCAAACGATAGCTTTGTGTGCTTTACAGATGAACTTGAAGTCTTTATTCATTCAAAATGTTCAAGAATAGATCATCTTTGGATGCGAGTTCATGATCCGATTCGTGAACAGATGATTCTTTTGAGTCAATCTTTTAAATGAATAATTTCTTTTGTTTAACGAAACCAGTGTGAATGGTTCACAAACTGGATAGATCTGAGGTGTGTTTCCCAAAAGCATCGTTAGCGAACTGTGGTTGTTAAATATTGAACTATAATGACATTGCTTGCGACCGTTGCTTTGGGAAACGAGCCCTGTCAATTTTGACTCAGCGATACTTTTGTGCCAATCGCTTCTCCATAGAGAGGATTATCATCACTTAAAGTTTGGTCCATTCATTAAACAAATCTATTGTATAACTTAGAGAACTGTGCCAGTTGTTTTGGCTACTTTTATTATGAATTTGGGTTCGTTTTGTAGCTTGGAATGCAGTATGAAACAGCATGGAATCCCATTCATTGTATTCAAATTGAATTTATATTGATTGGTAGATTTAAATGACGTAACATTTTTTTGTTGTTGATAAAAGAAATGCTGTGGAAAACTGATGTTAAAAACAAAATGCAAAGAAAACACAAATCTTATGACTAGTAGATGTCACTTTTATTTAGAGTTGGAAAGCATAAAAACAAGACATCAAGTTAATATGTTCCTTTGTGTTGCATAGCTTAAGTATTTCAAAGTATTCTAAAGTATTTAGATTAAGTTACTAAACCAGAGTAATCTAACGAAATACATTACTGATTACTTTTTAAAGCTTGTATTTTGTAATCTGTAGTGAAATACATTTTAAAAGTAACCTTCCCAGCCCTGATTATAATGCATTATAAATGTACCAAACCCTTGTTGTTGTACTACATAAAGTCTGTAAGATTGTACATTTTACACCCTAGTCTACATTTTAATAGGCTATTAGAAACAGTAATAATAGTAGGCTATTAGTTAAATGCCAGATATTATTTATTAAGCTATGACTCTGGATAACTGATTTTTAGAATAGAGATCATGGTTCTCCCACGATTCTGAAAACAAAACATTAGACAAAAACAAAATAATATATAGGCTAATTCACTTAGGTTTCTTACAAAATGTTTTATTTAATGTTATAAATGAGTCTAAAATGTTATGAATGAGCCTATTAAAAATCTAAATATGTAAAAGAAAATATTTGAAATAAATGAATGAACTTGATTCGATCGTTTTTGAACGAATCTCTTGATTGAATTAATTAGACATCAAATGCATTTTAACAGTCACTGGTCGCTACCTACTGGCATAATGTAACATATAGGCCTAATCTTTATTTGAAGCGTAACATGAGTTCCAAAGGTCAGTTTCTCATTTTGAACGCAGCTGCTGCAGCATCAGCTATATCCGGACTATAAACTTTTATCCCAATACTTTAGTTATTAGTATTTAATGTTTGCAACACAGAAATGTAACCTACTGTGTAGACTGTTTGTGAAGGTGTTTCAAACATAAAGCTTACATGATGAGCGCTGCTCTCTCTGGATCAGCGGCTGCGCGAAGGCAGGTACTCTTAACCTCAACATGGTTCCTGACACAACACATACCCCTACAAATGTCACTTTTCGACGTAACCTACACCCACTCTCACTTTGCTTCCTTCCCATGAAAAGTTATCATCTCTTGATGTTAACAGTGCTACTGATACTTTCTGCTCCACTCTTACGTCTTGTTTAGACACTGTCTGCCCCTTGTCTTCCAGGCCAGCTCATACCTCCTCTTCTGCCCCTTGGCTATCTGATGTTCTCTGTGAGCCTCGTTTGAAGGTGTTTCAAACATAAAGCTTACATGATGAGCGCTGCTCTCTCTGGATCAGCGGCTGCGCGAAGGCAGGTTTAAATATTCCGATGTGATTGTGATTTCAAATGTTTAATATACGTAGTGGAATCATCATCATAGCAATAAGATTGCGTGTGTTTGAATCGAGATCGCGATCTTTTAATGATTAATCCATGAGCCATGTATTTTTATGTTATAATTTGTACCAGACTTGGTGTTAATTCAGATATATGAAATAATATTTGTGATTAAATCAGTGTTTCCTAATATTTTGCATTACACTGATATTATATCATACTGCTCCACTGATCATGTGCTGGTTACTCCACTGCACACCTCGGATCACTTCCTCCTCACTCTTAACCTCAACATGGTTCCTGACACAACACATACCCCTACAAATGTCACTTTTCGACGTAACCTACACCCACTCTCACTTTGCTTCCTTCCCATGAAAAGTTATCATCTCTTGATGTTAACAGTGCTACTGATACTTTCTGCTCCACTCTTACGTCTTGTTTAGACACTGTCTGCCCCTTGTCTTCCAGGCCAGCTCATACCTCCTCTTCTGCCCCTTGGCTATCTGATGTTCTCTGTGAGCCTCGTTTTAAGCTCAGAGCTGCAGAAAGAGTATGGCGCAAATCACAAAATTCTACTGACCTTAATGTATATCGATCACTCCTCTCTTCATTTTCTGCTAATGTCTCCACTGCTAAAAGGACATACTATAACAACAAAATTAACAATTTGCCTAACTCTCGCATGCTCTTTAAAAAATTTTCCTCCCTCCTTTGTCCTCCTCCTCCCCCTCCTTCATCAACTCTAACAGCTGACGACTTTGCCACATTCTTCATTAATAAAATTACAAACCTCAGTGCACAATTTGCCACACCACAAACTGTCAAACATCTTACCAGCAAACATACACTCGTTTTCATCCTTCTCTCCACTCTCTGAGGCAGAAGTCTCTAAACTCATCCTTTCCAATCATCCTACTACTTGTCCGCTTGATCCTATTCCATCTCATCTCCTTAAAGCCATTTCTCCTGCCGTTGTACCTGCACTCACTCACATCGCTAACACATCCCTTCACACTGGTGTTTTCCCCTCAACATTTAAACAGGTTCCTATAACCCCACTTCTTAAGAAACCCACTTTTAACCCAACTCTTTCAGAGAACTACAGACCGGTTTCCCTTCTACCTTTCATTGCTATGTATTTTTATGTTATAATTTGTACCAGACTTGGTGTTAATTCAGATATATGAAATAATATTTGTGATTAAATCAGTGTTTCCTAATATTTTGCATTACACTGATATTATATCCTCAGACCACATTGCTAAAACTGCCCGGTCCTGCAGATTTGCTTTATACAACATTGTTTTTCTTTGTGTGTGTGTGTGTGTGTGTGTGTGTGTGTGCATGTATAATATATATATATATATATATATATACACATCTTGCTACGTGTACTGCATTAGGCTAACCGAGCCTTGTCATTTGCACTTATATATTGTTGCTCTTTTGTTAGATTTGACTGCTTTTATTGTCCTCATTTGTAAGTCGCTTTGGATAAAAGTGTCTGCTAAATGACTAAATGTAAATGTATATTATTTATCAATATAATTAACAATATTAAAGTGCCCATTATTACAATGATTCACTTAAAACGACAGGCTTACTAAGTAGTTTTCCTTCCCTTTAATGAGACATATCTTGTTTGTCTTTCACAAATTATTGTGTGCTCTCTGGAAAAATGTTCTGGGGGCATTCATGAGGAAACTTTCTCCAAGAAAATTTCTTTACAAATGAATCCAGAAGGGACGTTTAACAAAATTAAAGAGAGATATATGTGGTTTTTCTTGTGTGGTGGAATTCAGAAGCTCAACAAGTATGAAATATCACCTGTGACAGAAATTCATCATCAATTTATAAAATTTTGGATGTAAAGGAACTAAATGCAGTTAATAAACATGATTAATCATGATTTATTATTTTAATGTACTGTCAGCCACAATAGTTAAATTCTGTTTTAAAGATTTAACAAAGCAAAACCAATCCCGGGCTGGGAATTACTGATTTAGAGAATATGAAGCACATTTTTTGGTTACCTAAATTGACCCAAAAAAAACAAACTAAAACGTTGGAACAAGCACAAAAGTGCAACAAATCCAATTGTATTAAAATAAGCTGAACTGCAGAGAAATTGATCATATCCATATGATAAATTTCTCTGCAGTTCAGCTTATTTTAATACAATTAAAGGAAGTTGAATGCAGTGTGAAGTACCTGAGAGGCATAGTTGTGTCCATCAGAGCCACAAACGGGACCAGAGGAAGATACTGGGCAAGGCTTACAGTTACTCTCCTGCTGCTGTCTAATGACCTGCTGCTTCAACCTAAAATAGCCAATATTAACATGGCATCAAAATAAAATCAATATTCAATTTAAGATATAAACTGAGGCATGCTTGGTTACTCAAATGAACAGGAACAGTGCATCATTGGTCCATTTTTTAATTTAAAGTTACAAGAATGCTCTCTGTAGTTAGTTGTGTGCTACAATGAGAACCAGTCCCTAAGGGATGGCCTCAGGAACAAGTTCAATTTGTAAATAGAACAAACGTTCAGGGACTAAATCTGTGTACCTCACAATGTGCCACCAGACAACACATGCCTGCTTTAATAAATTGCTCTTATTTCACCTCTATAAAAATATGGCTTTCTCTTCACAAGTGAGTGAACATTCTCTAACACTTGTGGAAAAAGAGGGATCATAACTATTTAAATTATTAAATTTTCTCTAGGGTCCAGTTAAAATGTTAGTCAAGGTTTTTTGCACCAAAATACAAAGTTCTGCCCGTGAACTTTCATGAAACGCAAGATGGCGCAGGCCAATAGGTCCTAACTCAATCTGATATAATCACATCATTATTCACATGGTTTTTGTTGCATCAGCAGCCAATGAGTTTGCTGCTCGACATTCAAATATTTGGCCAGTGTTCGCCATAGAAGTTTGCAGTGCGGTTCAAAACCCTCCACCTTCCCCAGCTCCACCTGTATAGATCTGCTACGGGGTAATTTCATGTATGCTATATATGCGGGTTATTTTATATATGTTATATGCGCAGCAGCAGTATTTCTTACATGCTCACAGCAGTATGTCGTGGATGTATTGGCAGAAGTACTTGCTCTGCTGCTACAGCAGCAGTGTACCAGATCTATTCCCCCAAGACCAAACACATTAACACTGCCATGTATATTAACATGCTAATCTTAATCATGCTAATCTAAGAGTTGTCATGACAGAACTATCATAATTTTAGGACCATAATTTTTATGACCATTTTCAACCCTATCGTTTTGCTGCTGTGTCTTTAAGACTGCTTTCTAAACAGCCATCTTTGCTCATAAGCACTCAGCCAATCATCTGGAACTTAAAGTCTCAGAAATGTGATTCATCATGATATAAATAATGAAAAGCTAGATTGGACAGTTACATTCTGCACAGTGCCTTAGAATGGCACCAAGCTTCTTTTATTCATACCCTCAAAAAACAAACACTGTCCTGTCATGTATTATTGTTATGTGCATGAAGACAGAGTCTTGTAGCTGAAGGACTCACCTGTGCTCCAGCTTTTTGCGGTTGACGCACACAGCACGTTGGTAGCCCTGGGCGACACACACCTTATTTCGGCTGCATTTGACTTTCTGGCAGGGATCTTTAGTGGTGTCCACATCTGCAATAAAGAGAGGTGTATTCCAATAATCTGCTATGCATTAAGTTTTGTTTTGTTTTTTCATTTAAGATGCTCCCTGAGGTTTCAATATCACAACCTTTCAGTAAATATTATGAATAATGTATTTAATTCCAATAATACATTTAATATTTCAATTATTAATATTTAATTATTATTGGTTTATATTTTAGACATTTTATTAAATTCTGCCACCACATCCTGAATCAGTGTTTTTTTAGCAACTGGATACATATAGTTTTTGTTAATACTTTTATTTTCTGTTTTCATTTTCATTTTAGTAATTTTGTTGTATATTTGAGAATTTTTTTCAGTTTTGGTTATATTAGTACAATTAGTAGATGCAATGAAAATAAAATGTTGCCTTTGCAACTAGCTGAAATAAAATAGTTTTTTTAATATATTATTATTATTATTATTTAAAGTAACAATCTATTTATGGTTTTAGTTTTAGGTAACAATAATAACTCTGAACATAAATAAGCAGCAGAAAAATTATGACATTGATTTTTTAAAACATATTTATTTTTTTATTTTTTATTTTATTTTATTCATTTAATTTGGCAATCATGAATCATGAATCTTTAAGGAACTCCTATTTACAACAAAAGAAGCATGACAAGCACCCTTTAATTCATAATGGAGGTTAATGCAAAGTGTAAAATTTAGCGCCTGTCTATCCGCAATGCTCTCTATGCTACAGCTTCAGCCTTAGAGAAGTTTAGAAACAAGGAATGTTATTTTATGTTCTTCAGTAAATCATCATAACTACACCTTATATCTTATCTCACCATACTACATATAATATTACAAACAAACTCACTGCATGAAAAACAATATTTCAAGACTGACAGATTATTGCAATCTATACACAACGGCACAAGGTTGATCAGTAAGCCTCACTTCATCACAACACTCTCAAGCAGATTAAAGAGAACACAAGAATAATGGTGTTGCTATAGCAACAGTCCAACTCCAGAGTGAGGACTGATTAGCTGCTCATACAAGTAAAAAAAACAAATAAAAACAATGAACTCTCTCTCTCTCTGAGTCTATTCATAATCATCGCACAATATAACAGTAAACATATCTTCAGAGCAGCGGCCCTGCAGTGAGTTGTCCCTATATAATGCATTATGAAGGTCTCCATGTGTAAGCGATGCCAAATCCGGCTTAAGACAGCCGAGGAATCTTGTCCAGCCACGTCACATCATCTCTTTCATCCTTTGTTTACACACTGGGCAGCATTTAATGTGATCATTACAATCGCAGAGTAGAAGTAAGGAGCTACTGACTCAATCAAACACAGCCAGTGGCTGAGCTAATGCAGCTAATACATATCAGCAGCCAGAGCCACTTAACGCTGAGCATATCAGATCAACTCGCAGGGAAAGGTTCACAGAGATAAGGACGTGATACATGCTGTGTACACAGGAAAGAGAAAATACAATCATGCTGATAAATAAAAGATGCACGCTGATTAAATAAAGATGTCTCCATTTGTTTTTAATGAACTGAAGCTTTGTATCCTGTTGATGGTCTATTAATTCAGGTACAGGCTGACTCAACAGACTGCTGAGATGTTCTTTTCACAGGTACACACACTGGGAATGTGAAAAAAAACATCTGGTTGTGATAAAACTGTCCACGTACCAGCAACACTTTGTTGACCTATTAATACACATTCAGCTTATGGGATGTGTGCAGCTCATACGAGATTAACATCATATATCTGACACAGACGATTAGCCATAGATATGCAGGAATATGTGCTGTCGAGGAAGTTTCGCCTTAGGGGTATAAATCTGGATTAAAACAAGGAATACACAATCTACCATTCAAAGGTTTAGAGTTGGCCTAAATATGAAGGCTATTTATTTGTTTGTTTATTTGTTTGGAATGATGTTTTATTTTGCGACAATGCATTAAATTGATCAAAAGTGCCAGTAAAGATTTTATAAAATATTCTGTTCTATTGAACTTTCTATTCATCAAAGAATCCTGAAAAAAATGATTGCAGTTTCCATAAAAATATTAAGCAGCACAGCTATTTCAACATTGATAATAATAAGAGATGTTTCATGAGCACTAAATCAGCATTTTAGAATGATTTTTTTAAGGATCATGTAACACGACTGGACAAGACTGGAGAAATGGCTGCTGAAAATGAATCTTTGCCATCACAGAAATAAATTACATTTTAGCACATATATATATATAATAGATTCAAATGTAAAAAAGTTATTGTATATGAATAAGTTACTGTTTTTACTGTATTTTTATCAAATAAATGCAGCCTTGGTGAGCATAAGAGACTCTCTCGCTCTC